AAAGGGGCGACGGAGAAATATGAAATTTATGAAGCGAACCCTCGACGGCGCGGCGGACGCGTACCGATCGTCCCCTGTCGTTCGACCGCATAAAATATTTATATAGGCGTACCTATGTACCTATTGCGCCGTGACAAAATTTGAAATTTTACCAAGCCTTCTCTACCAAGGCTTCCGTCTGTCGTGAGATTCGGTTGGCTAGTACATACGTATTTGCTTTTCACCATACGTTGCGGTTTGCGGTCGACATTCGATGGGAAGACAAGCAGTCGCGCGCGCGTTGCTCTTCAAAGAAATTCCGTCGCTTTTAACGTCACATGGATTTTATTTTAACAAGATTCACGGGTAGAACTTACGTTTAGTCGTACTCGAAGATACAATAGATTATTCGTAGTTTCAAGCTAGCCGCAAAGATATTTGATGTCATTATTGATAACATCGTTACTGACTCGAGTTATAATAAATCAGTATCCCCGTCGCGGCTTAATAAATCGTTTCTGAGATTTTTACTAAAAAAGAAACAAAGACTTTCTCTTTATTTAATAATAAGATGACAGCCATTTCATTAAGAAAATTTTTTTCTAATTTTCTATTACATCAAAAATCACAATTTTGTTGCTTCGAAATCATTTAATATTCTTTTCAGAACTGATAAGTCATCATTTCAGTTTCAACGATTACCGAGTGTAAAGGTCAACAGTCAATTTAAATAATTTGAAGAGATCAATGAAAATGGAATGCGATCGAGCCTTTAACGTAAATCAAACCTGCACTATTACAAGCTGTCGAAGCTATAATATAATCGGTCGCGTACCGTGTTATACCGAGCGCTTTAGTCGTTATAGGGAGTAGCATCACGGTATATAACAGCGTAATCGGCAGTGATTTAAACGGCACTCAATCATCGGGATGGTACAACGAAAAGCAACCGAGCCGTCCGGTACGCCACGCCGCCGCCGCGCCGCACCGCGCTCCGCCACGTCGGTCGAGGCTAATCTGCTTCTCGTGAAATTAATTCCCGAACTCGGCAGACGGCACGCCAGATTAAGTTTTTCGCTTCGGTATTACCAGCCGACTGATCGCGAATGCTTAACCGTATCATTCCTCTTCAGTGCTACGTGTTAAAACACAATAAAATACTACGAATTGATTTTCGTTGGAAGCCTGTCGTCCCGGAACAACACTATATCTTGCTGTCTTTGTTCATTGTACAGAATATGGATTTTTCGAACTGTTTGCGAAGGTATTATATTGAACTAGCATCTCCCGTCGGGGTTTCGCCAGCGTGTTTTCTCCCGTTGCAGTTCAAGTCACTGTGTGAAGAGGTAAAAGTCACAGTGGTGGAATTCACTTTTCGGAATTGAAAGGTATCGGAAATGGTACAGCTGTTCTGTTAACATGTCTACATTATGATGGTATCAGTTTGCAAGGTAGATGAGTTAGGACTTACCTCACGTTTTCTCTAAACGTATTTGTACTCGTACTGCAAGTCACAACTCGACTGAAAAGTGACTTACATTATAAAGGTTTATCAGTTAAGAATGAAAATTTCAACTCAATCAGTACAACAGTTTTTGAGTGAATGAAGTTCGAATATCCATCCAAACTTTTGTATTTATATAATTTATCTCAGTATTATATAAAGAGAAGGAATACTTCAAAGAAAAAATTCTAAAAAAAAGACTAACACATTTATCCTCGAGTTATAGCTTTCTTATCTAACCACCACGAGTGTCTTCAGCGTTCATACGTCTAGAAGAAATAAATCTACATTTTCTCTATTCATAATAATATTTTTTTATCTATAAAAATAAATATCCTATGATACTCCAGTGTATAATTGTAAGAAAGCTACAATCCAAATTAATATTAAATTAATATGCAAATATTCCAGTCGTTTTTAATATTTCAGCATATATACAAATGCTTTCTTTTTATATAAAGTAATAACAAGTAATAGTGAGAGTTAATTGAAAATTAATTATTGACATTCAATTTATACTGCCAACAGTGCGCATCCTCAAGTATCCATTGATCAAACATAGTAATAAATCTTGTGTAAAGAAACGTATTACCATCTTCTCAGTAAATGACATTAAACATCGAACTATTTGTGAACGTGTTCCATTATATCGTCTGTAGCAACAGGTATAAGAGTTTAATAGTGCTCGGGGAAGATGAAGTTCTTTTGTGATTGCGATTATAACTTGAATTTATCTTTGGGATAGCTTCGGGATGGAGGTCTCGTTTGTGGCAGTGTTTTCAAGATTGTCAGATAATGTCTGTTAAAACATTATGAGAACTTGTAAGAGTAATGTCGAAACTTCCGTGGAACTACCATTAAGGTGGAGAATACGTTATCGAAGAGCAACTGGAGTTACAAGAAAGGGACGCAACTATTTTTCAAATATTTTTTAGTTCACGTCAAAGTCATTGTTAGGAATGACAGAGTTTTTCGAGTACTTAATCAGCATAAAAACGTCGGTTCGTACATAAATAGGTTCTCATAATTTTAGTTCGCTGAATTAAATACAGTTATACTAAAAATGAATGTTTTCACAGATTCTGTACTTTAAGAAACCTTTCTTTTTATTTAACGAGACTGGAATTGCTTCTTTTACGAGCTATTAATTGTAATTACTTATTCAAGAGGAAGTCAGTTTTAAACGCTACACAGAATAAAAATTATAGAATTATGACAGTACGCTGGAAAATAGGAACCTCAAACTAGCTTTTCATGAAATCTTTACGAAGATCCGGGACAATTACAAACTTTCATCCCTTAACATCTCGTCGCAGTTTCAAGAAGGCTCGAATTGATAATCTCAGTGAAAAAATTCTTTGAAGTCTCGAGATACTAGTTGACACTTGATATATTGGTTTTCTCGCTCGTGTCAGTTAAGAAGTGCCTTGACAAGATGCTCGAAGAAATCAATTTAACGGTTAATTAATCTGTTATGTCGAGTAATACAGAGTAGCGTCGAATTACTTTTCTCGATAATGGATATCATTTGACGTATGCTTCTCCATCTGCGTCATTTAAAAAATATAGAGAATCACTTTTGCCGTTCACTAACGTAAAACGTCTATGAAAACAAATAATTTTGCTATACGCTACGTGTATCATCCTTTTTCTAAATAGGTTCTTCCCAATACGCAGAAGAATCAGTAAAAAGTATCGATCGTCAAATTGTGCGAATGGAAAAGTGTAAGCATGCAATGAAACCGTTATTTAAATGAAATCTTAAATGTAGGTATATGTCTTTCTTAAACGATTTTATTTTTCTTTCTTAAAATTAGTTAAATTATTTTAATATTCTCGGCAGAGTAAGGCAGGATCAAAATATATAAAATTCTATCACACTTCTCTGATTTTATCGTTTCTGTAAATTAATTCAGTATTTTTCTAAATCAAAATCCGGATGCTATTTATGAATCATAAGTTATAAAATTAATTAGGTACAAATTAATAATTAGGTAGTAATAATTGTCTCGGTATCACATTATTATATGTATTTAAAAAAGAAAGTACTGAGAGAATGGTTTATTTAATTTAAATTAAAGTTGACTGTTATAAATTTATAATTATAATAAAGTTTTCGAAACGTGACCAGTTTTTCTCTTTAATCAAAATAATATTCGAGACGTAGCGAAATTGTATTCAGTGATAAGGACAACGCAATAAAACAGATGACAGCTACAAAAGGAGAGGGACAGTAGCAATTTATTCAACATTTAACATCATATCGTGGTGATGAGTGAAATAACACACGGAGATACGAAGGATAAAATACTAATTACATTAAAATACGAAAATATTATGGCAAGGGTTTTAAAGTGATATTAACCGTACCGCAATAAATGCATGTTTCGAGAAAGAACGGAAACGTTTATTCGAAAACCATTATCTACGTATCGAGCATTGATAAGCGTTGTAATAAACGTAAAAAAAATCGAACATTGTAAGCAACGTATTATTAACATTTATTATCAAAAGTAAAAAGAAATTCGGAAATTTCGATAAGTACAGTGATTCCTATTTATATTCGGATACATTTTAAAACGGAACATTTTTAATATTGGATTAAACAACTAAATTTTCTGTGAGGTATTAGAAGGCTTAGTTTACTATACAACGTGTAAAAATAAAAAAATAAATATCATCTAGTAAATCAGGTGTCCGAACATCCCGGAAAGAAAAATGCAGTATTAAAAAAGTTATTTTATTTTGAAGTGAGTCTGAGTTTTAATGAAAATCACTGTAATTCTTTAAAGTATAAGATAATGAGAAGGTCAGGAAACTGCACAAATAAAATATAAATTACGGAAGGAAATATATAAACACGAGTCTCTGAAAAGAGAAAGAGAGAAAAGGGAAACAATAATAGTAACGACCAAGATCTCGTTTGCTATTTTGGCTATTATACAACAAAGGCAAAGATAGGACCGTGGTAAATGCAAATTACACCCAGAGAAAGAGCTGAAAGCCTAGCGGGACAAGGAGGAGAAAGACTGTTGGTTGAGAGATCAGGTGAGAATAAGGGATTGGTATGGCGGGTCAGGGAGGAATATGCTCAGCGACTGGTTTGCTTCTGTACGATACCAACGAAGGCACGCGAAGTTGTTGGAACTAGGCTGGGGCGTGTGTTGAGAATTGTGGTGCGTTTAGCGGGTAGAAGAAAGATGAAGCGGAGTGAAAAGACGAAAGGGCTGAAGAAGAAATACAAGAAAGAGAAGACAGATCGAAACGGTGATAGCGGCACAGGGGTGAGACGGTAGAAAACAGAAAAAGGAGAGCGATCGAGATGATAGGACGGAGAGCGACAGAAGAGACTCTTGGGGTAGGGCAAGGTAGGGGGATGAAAGTTCGGATGCATGGAGAGCGTCTGCGTGGAAAAAGGAGAGCGCAAGGGTGGTCGGCGAACAGAGAAAGGGTGTAGTTGGGAGAGAGAGCGCGCGGCGTGAGAAGAGAAAGCGAGAGAAAGATACGTGGGTCGGCGAGTCGAGCTCAGTTACGCCGCGCCCCTTGCGAAGTGCGCTGCGCCTCGTGGATGAGGTTATAGTTCTCGCTGATCGAAAAATAGTTTTTGCGCTCCACGTTTCCGGCACACTAACAGGACGAACGTTCAGGCGTCGTGTGTTTATCTCCATGTTATCGCGTCCAGTCGTTTCGCTTACGGACGGAAACTTTCGCGAGTCACGTTTCACGTTGCGATCAGCGAATGGTCGCGAGTTGTTTCGCTGGCGAACGAGACAAGCGTGGTGAGACTTGACGTGGTGACGAGGGAATGATACTTTTAGTGAAACTGAATTTACTTCTCATTCTTGGCGTAACATATTCAGAGGTGTAGTGAATTGAAAGTGTGATAGTAAGACGCTGTCATTAGTCGGTCATACGTTCAGTGCTGTCGGACGAAAACCTCCTGAGATCAATGTAATTCAAAGTTTAGTGTTTCATGTACAAATATCTAATGCTGCGTAATATCGGTATTTTGTAATTTTTATTTCCGTAAGACGATCATATCGAGAAATTAAAAGATTCATGTCTAAGAAGTTATGAAAGTACAGATAGTTTAGAAGACTAGGTTAGGTTAATTGGATTCGCTAAAAGAAAGACTTTTCATGTATGATATAATAATATAATGGATATCGCGATGGATAATAGACTTCGCTGAAGATTCTGCCGTTGCTTTCTTCGTTTTTTCGTCTCGTGGTTACGGGGACAAAAAAGTTGAGCATTAAGCGTACATACATAGTGCTATCTAGGACAGGAAAAAGGTGCTTTGCGATGGACCAAGTGGAACGAAACATTAAGCTGGCTGCCCTCACGAACTGAGATCATCAGTCAACGGTAAGTAAAATCTTTACATTTTCTGTCGTTGGGTCAAAATACAGTAGCAGCGCGATCCTGGATTCTTATCTATGTGATGCGTTTGTGTCTTTATTACTGTCTCGCTCACATAGTCTGTTATTTACTTTTATCTACGCTGCACGCTGGAACGATGAGCGATTTTAAAATAAGAAATTCTCTTGATATATGGCCAAGCTCGTTTTCGATCGATGGCCAATATATCCGGACACTACACATTGTATTTAGCATCGTTTTCTAATTTCTTTGTGCATAAAGTATTAACATTTTTCTTACGAAACAAATCATATTATTTCAAAGCATAGAGTAAATACATTTATGGTTAGAAATAAACAATGTACTTTGTTATTATGCTTCTCATTAATAATAAATAATTTCAGTTTTTATTAGAAAATTGACAATCATTTGGAAATAAATTTTTATTTTGTTGATGGGATGGAAATTCATTCGATAATAGCTTATGCTCATTACCAAATACGAATAAATATTCGCGTAATGGATAAGGTCGATTAGCAAAATTTTCATAACCACTATTTTCTTTTAAGGAAATAGAATTGAGCAAGTGCGAGGGTAAATAACATTTTTAAAAGCAGCTTCTAAGGAAAACGTTCTCGCCCTTCCTCAATAATGCAACGTTCAAGAGCGTTCCGCTAAACATAACTTTAAAATTCAAATTAAGACGTAGCCCGGTGGCGAAGGTTCCGGCTTATTTACATTTCCAATTATTGTTCGCGTCGTTCCACCATCCACGGTATCTGCGATGAAACTGTTACTCGTTCCAATTGGATCTGGCCGAGTGTTACCCATGACCCGGGAAATCTTAAGCAGGCTTTAATAGTCTAACAACATTATCGTATACATGATCGTGTCGAAATAAAACGGTATCGGTAGAATTCTTCGAATTACAAGCTGAATACTCTGAAGTATACAAAATGCTTTTGTCTCGTTTTAATCGAAACTGTTCTCCAAACTTATAAGCATGAATTTAATATCGCCTCTCTAGTGAATGTCTCCTCCAAAAATATATAACATCACGGAAGAGTGAACAGCGTTATGAAAGATTAACTTCTTTTTTCTAAAAGTGTATAAATGAGTAGAAAAATGAGAGACGTTACGGAGTGTAAAAATGTATGCATTTTAGGTTGCGACGCTAAGTGACTTGTTATGGAAATACGCATTATAACATTATAAATATGGCTCGGAGTTATCCCGCGTTCACAAATGGCGTACTCGATGGTTTGTAAATAGCGTACGACACATCGTTTATTTTCAAAACAAGCACGCATTTTGCTCAATATAAAGGATGTTTCACACACGACAATATATGCAAATAACGCACCGGCATGTAACTAGACTTGCAAACATTAAGCGAACCTCTAGTTTGCATAGCGGATCGATAGCTTCTTCGAGCGTTGCTTCTAGTTATCAAAATTTCAACAAAAGTATCTCTTTGAATTTCGAAATCTTTAACCAACGTCGAGCTCAATGAACTATTTTAAATAAAAGACGGAGAATTGATTAATTGTATCTAAATTTTAGGTTTTGAATTCGTGAACCGCATGACTGAAATTGTTTCCGGAATCGTTCAATTTTTTTTCGGTGATGTGTATTCTCTCGGGATGACACTTGAATGATTGAAGGATGTAAAATTCGGTGCAGCCAACTGTGAACGAGAGTTTCCTTTCAATGACGTGTCCGTCCGATTCGCCACCGACAATCGGCTCTATTCTCTGTTCCATTGGAAATACGACGATGCTCGAAGGGCGGATATGAAAGGAAACGGAGGAAGGAAACATCGAAGGGAAAGCCTTAGCCATCCAAATGAAAACATCTAGAGTCGAGGGACAGAGAGAAAGAGAGAGGGCGGGTATTCTAGGTCGGTTTCTGTTGAAAGACGCCGAACTTGCGACGATTTCGGATGGGCGTACGACGAACTTTTAAAAGTTAAGCTTAACTAAAGTTTCCCCAGTGAACTTCGCGGGAGAGTCACTGTGTGCCGGGGTTGCGGCCAACTGCCATCGTAGACGTGTTCGCTTGAATGAAATCTGTATGACTGTACGTGAATGTTCGCCCGTTCGTGTACCTGTTTGTGGCCGTCGGATCGTCTGGGTCAAACTAGCGGTGAAGCAACTTGAACGCAATCGTCGACTTTATCGTCGATTGTCAATTTCCGAGTATTTAACCTCGCTCCGCCCGTCAGAAACACACGACAGTCCGGGGAAATGATGGGGAAAGTAACGGATAAACAGGATTCTTGTCGAACGCGTGTACACCATGTCTATTATTCTAAAAAATAGAATACTTTTGTTGAACAAACTCTTATCTGAGAGTTGGATGCTTCAGAAATTTTTATAAAATTTGTTGGGAGTGTTGGGATCTCTTCATTCAAAAGCTTTGGCTCTTTCCAATTTCTACGATAGAATCGTCACATAATTGTGTTTTTCGATTTACGGGAAAGAGATAAAAGAATTTTGAGTTCTAAATAGGATCACCTTAAAAAAATCGTTAATTCTTTGAGACTTATGATCCAATTTTGACAAACTTTAAGAGGCAGGAGTAGTCACGTGATTTTTATAATATCTGTAGGTAAATTTTTGACGTCCTTTACTCTGTTTTACTCATAACGAGGGAAGAATAGTGGAAATTATGGATTTACGCCATTCGATTCTACATCTCTATTTCTCAGAGAATCAAGAGAAAATTCGTTTTAATGTTTAGTTTAAGGTAAACTCTACGGCGACAACTAGCTGAAAGCTTTAAAAAAAGCAGTAGCAATACGTATTCGAGGAAAACTAAATTAGCAGCGTTATTTTGGCATTAGAACGGAGGTAGCTGAAGAAATTGCGAGGATAATCGGTCGAAATCACAGAGGCAGGGCACGCTAGAGAGAGAAGGTTGAATGGTATTCGGGTTAAACGAGCCAGATTATAAACGTATTAAGAGTAGGTCGTTTTTTGCTTTTTCTTTGAATCTACTCCAGCCGGCAGCGGCACGTTTTTCGCTGACAGCTGGCAAGAAAGGAGGAAACACCTTCGTAGCGAAAATCTGACTCGCTTTTCCGGCCTTTGTCAAGAGGATCGGATGATTAATCACGCTATCGCGACGCGACGCAACCCAATGTTCCCCCCCGTAGCGGATGCACGTGCATACGTCACCACGCGGACGAGAATTCGTCAATGTCGAAAATTGCAGTAAAAGCATGCCTGGCTGAGTGATCTCTGCCCACTAGCCCCGCTCGGACTTTGTCGATCAACGGTGTTGCCGGCGTCGGGCATCTTCCCGTCAGCGACGCTTTTATCAAACGGGCATGATTTAGTACAGACAAATTGCGATCCGTCCCATTGAAAGCTCTTGAACAATAAAAGACATTATTTACTGTGACTCAGTAATAGATGATCACCTTTTAAAACGTAGTAACTTTCACTATTAGAGCAAATAAAATAATTTCCTTTTAGATGCTGAAGAACTTACTTCAGTAGATAATATAGTATAATAAGAATTAGAAGGAAATTGGTATGTTAGATCTGATTGTAAGGGCAAATAGAGAAGCTTATGATTTTCAAATCTTTTTATCTGAAAGTTATTTTAATATGAAAGTGAATAATATATTCGAAGCATTTATTCATTTTCCTCCCTAGTAATCATTTTTACGTTAATTTCTTTAAATCGCCGGTATTAGATGCATCTTTAAAAAGTTACATATAATATTATTATGTGAAGTATGAAGTACTCATCAATTCTTTAGCCGATAGTTCGACTTTCCGGCGCTCTAAAAGTTAAATTTCTATGTCATGTAATACATTACTATTTTCTTTATTGCAATATAAGTACCGTTAGCTCGATTTCCTGTTCATTTACCTAATTTCAGTGTCGCGTATATGGACGGAGTGTCTGCTCTTTATTCATCGTCCACGCAGGAGGAGAATTCTCCATGTGACACTAACAGGAATTCTATTAATATCCGACAACAAGCTGAAATTTTTCTTCTCATTTCAGAACCAATTTTCTTACGACAAACAACTTGCCCCCTGTGCCCGTTTCTTTTCAATTTTCTTGGCCAGACTCTTTTTTCATCTATCTACTGGATCCTACCGTCGCGCTCATCCGTCTTCCCCGTTTTAGACCTGGGTCCCTCTGGACTTTTGCTCGTGTTTTGCTCGTATTTTTTTCTTTTTATTCTCCTCATTCCTGCGGACGAGATAGGAGAAGTAGCTGCGCGTACTGGGAGAAAATTGTTTGCGACTTATGACAGTTTGAATGCCTTGTTCTTGCATGTGTAGTGGGACGAGCCAATCAGAGAAACATTTAAAAGTTTAAAATATTTTTCTAGAGTGTGAAAAACTGCAAGTTAAAAAATATTTATGTAGAAAAATTAATGACATTTAAAACGATATTTTCACAATCCATTTCTACATATTTCAAAAATCAGGAAAAATCGACTTAAAGAATCCTCAAAGCTCGTGCCCGGATTTCTTAAATTATAGAGTGAAAAGACAAAGTGGAACGTAAAGATGCCAGGTTCCTGGCAACTGAACTTGAAATTTGATTAGAGTTTCGCGATTCTTCCTGCCAGCGACGGTACATGTGTATGCGGCACACGTATATTTAGCTAGACTGGAAGGGCTAAGAACATGTTTCACATTTTCGCGTGAATCCGCCCGGGAGAGCGGGAAATGTTTTGTACCGCCTGTTAGTTCTTTGTTGGGGTGTGTGTTCAGTGAACCTGCCTTTGGAAGCATTGTGCACGGTGATTCTTATCTCCAAGTCGCAGTAGAATTTCGAAGATTTATATGTGATGTAACTTAAGCTTAACTTAAATGCTTATCAATTGGGAATAAAGAAATCTTAAATAACTGGGATTAAGGAAGTTTATAAAACATTAATTTAATTTGTAATTAAAAAATTTGATAGAAATGCATTCGAATTAAGATTGTATAAGTCTAAGACTTCTGCCAGAAGTTTAAGAAATGTGATAAAAAGCT